AGAGACCCTTTGACCATGTCTGAAGTGTCAATGTTCTAGCACGAAAACTGGTGACATGATAACAAGGAAGAAAAGACCCAGATTTCTAGGACCTGGAACTCTTAGGATATATGTTTTAGAGATCTTATGTTAATTTTCATTGCTAGCATTGCTATTAATATGTCTTAAGTCCAGGGCTGCTCAATCTCTGCACCGTTAACAGTTTGGCTAATAAACCTTTGTCCTTTGCACTGTAGGATGTTTAAACCATGAGTTGCCAGCGCCTCGTTTCCACCCTGGTTGGGACAACCAACAGCATCTCCAGATTATTGCCAATTATCCCCTGGGGGACAGAATCATCCCCTGCTGAGAATCACTGCATTGTTCTGACACCATAGCCACATCACTGATGTGAAACTGGGAACTCTGTGATGGTGCGTTCCTGACTTCTGTCTGCATTGGTCCTGACCATGTATGAACCTGAACTTGGGTTTCTATTTTAAATGGCAGCCAATGCCAGACACCTTTTCTCTGTGTCCTTTAGCCTCCATGTCGTATTTTTGTCTCTGGGAATGACACACAGTTTAGCCAAATGGAAAATAAGGTCTTTGCAGTAGTATTTTTTCTGGACAATGCATGAAAGTTATGGAAGAATGCTGATTTCAGACAAGAAGAATCTAGAGCTACTGCATGGAACCATACAGTGCCTTAGAAGCAAAACACAATGCTCTGAGAAGCTGATCCTTCCTATGGGAAGGTTTCAGTTTCAATTCTGTAGACCTCCATGAACATTTTGAGCACATGCTTGCTGATGACCTAAAGCTGGCTAAAGTTGGAGGCAGACTGCAGTATCAAGACCCTGCTAGGGGGAACCAGCAGTTAGCATAATGGCTATGTCGTTGGACTCCCACGTAGTCGACCGCGGTTTGCGTCCCAGACCCGGTGGCTTAAAACCCACGCCGGGCATGTGTGCGTGCATGCCCAAGATCCCGACAGGAGAATGGAGGAGAAGGGATTGTGGCATGGCCATCCCCTCTGGGGGGTGATTTCTCACTTTCTGTCTCTCTGTCTCTCTATGTCTGTCTGGCGAGTGCACGCGCCCTATAGTAAAAATCCTCTAAAAAAAGACCTTGCTAGGGGTGTTGTGTGTTTGTCTGTCTCTGCCTATGTCACTCATAGAATAAATAAATAAACAAACAAAAAAATCACTGCTACTGTATTCCCATAGGATCAGTGTGAGAAGAAAATGAAATAACAAAAAAATGCTCTGCACAGCACTTAATATTGTTGTGGGAGGTTTAATTGAATTGTCTTATTACCTCGAGGGCTTTTGGGATCTTCTGTGGCCCTGTGAATAACACCAGCCATGTTTGCCAAACCACAATACCAGGGAGGAGAAGGAAGACATACAGAGAAGAGATCCCATGGGAGAGAAAGATCTCCTCTGGAAGAGTGGGTCTTCCTTCGGTGTTTATCTCGTTTGTATTTTTGTTTTGTTTTGTTTTGGGGGGAGGGTGGAGGGCAATATAATATAACAATTATGAGTGGAGACATGGAAGTCAGACTACCTGGATTTAAACCCTGATTCCCTCAGGAAGATGAGCAAGAAGCAGCAGAGTGCCTGTCAGGTGCTGGACAACACAGATGGACAATAATGCCAGAGTTGCTAAGGGTTTTGCCTTTCTTGGTGCATAGAGTCTCCAAGCATGACCCATATGTCTTAACAGACAAGATTTTTGGAAAAAGAAAATAACACTCTTCTTGTGTCTGTTTTAAAAACTTCAGGGAAGAATCTAAGGTAAAAAGTAGAGCCTTACTGATCCTGTTAGACTTTAACTACATAATGAGTCAAAGAGGAAGAAAGGTGGGGACCAGCAGTTAGCATAATGGCTATGTTGCTGGACTCCCATGTAGTCAATCGCAGTTTGAGTCCCGGACCCAGAGGCTTAAACTCATGCTGGACCCGTGTGCCTGCATGCCCAAGATCCCGAGAGGAGAATAGAGGAGAAGGGATTGCGGCATGGTCATCCCCTCAGAGGGGTGATTTCTCACCTTCTGTCTTTCTGTCTCTCTCTGTCTTTCTGGCGAGAGCACACGCACTATGGCAAAAATCTCTCAAAAGAAAAAAAGGAAGAAAGGTATCTTTCACAAACCCTACTCATAAGTCACTGGACAGTTCTTGAAAATGCTCATTAATAATTTAAATATTTAAATAACTTTTAGTTTACCCAGTGGGTCATTTCCATTAGACTCTAAATAGCTGCTTTGGGGGCCAGGTTAGAAGTTCCCAGCAGGGCCCCATTTCTTCAAGTGTGTATAGGATTGTTGGTAGTTTGGTTTACCAAAGCAGAAGTGACATTAATGTGGGCAGTTGTATGAACAACACGAGATAACTTCAGCTTAGGTGGTTCATTGCCTGACCTCTTCCTTTAAGGTATCTCTTCCTAATTTTGATCATCCATTTCACACTCAGTTTGGCAATGCTGCTGCTTTAAATAATGCCAAGAAGTCCCCCACAAAGAAGAGCAATTGTGTTCCAAGGGTTGGCAGTGACTGTATCTTGGACTTTCTGGATCAAAGGGTCTTTCCATTCAAAGACAAAAAACACTTTTTTTCAATAGGTGGTCTCTGGTCAACATAGTTAACTGCCCTTGTCAATGACCTTAGCCAAGCTACTCAGCCTGTTGCTTCAGTTTCTCATCTATAAGGTGGGTATATAATAATAGTTCGTATTGCATAGATTTATTGTGAGAATGAGGGAGAAAATGCACAAAGAACATAGTAGTTGAACGAGTGGGCTCTGGAACCAGAATATATGGGTTTAAAACTCTGCTGCTCTGCCCCTTAGCCAAGCAAGCTACCTGCCTTACTTTCTTTATCCAAAAAAAGGGGGTAACAATAGACCTACCGGATAGGATTGTTTTGTGTGTTGACAAAGTGGTTGGAGAGGGACAAGCTTATAGGAAGCTCCCACATGATGCTAGCATGATGAATGGTGCGATGTGCATGATTCCCTGTCAGCAGCTACCATGGCTGATCATCCGTATTATTGCTATAATCATTTCTTGGAGTCCTGGCTAGACAACTCATTGGCGAGTATAGACATTCTGCATATAGCTCAAGCTGTAGACTTTGGGGTAGTCATAAAACACCATCTCTCTGAACAAATCCCATGCCTTGTGGGCTGGCTCCATGGCATGGCAGTAAGTGCTGCTCAAGCCATGCTGCATCCCTCCAAACCTAAGATCGTAGGTTCAGTTGCAAGGTCAGCCTGTGCACACAGGATCTCCATGAGCCTAACTGGATAGGAAGGCTGGAAGTGGATCATGGCATGAGACCCTGTTGAGGATATTCATCTCTGTCTGCCTGTTTCTCTCATAAAATAAATGAATAAACTTAAAAACATTCCAGTTTCTGGGTGCCACAGGCCCACGTGTCACCAACAGGAAGATAGGGCCATGCCTCATCGTGAAGCACTGAAGTATGAAAGCTACCAAGAGACCTAGGGATGGGCACCTGGGCCCTCCGGGCAAACTGGCACAGAGCTCAACTCTCCATTCAGAAGCAGCCGCCTTCCTCCCAGTCAGCTTTGACCTCAGCTTCTTTTTCACTCTTTCAAGAACGGTGAGCCTCAGTGCATGTGAGAAGCTCCCAGGAGACACACAGGGACACTTACTGGCATCAAGACGGCAGAAGATCCTGGCATGGTAGGGTTGGGCAGGGTCCCGGGCATGGAGGCTGGCATTGGTTGTCTCTGTCTGTTGTGGAGATGGAGCAGAGAAGATAGAGAGCCTGGGACAGGCCTGGGATGAAGAAAGAAAACAAGCATTACTCTTGCTGCCCTGGGCCTGCCTCCCCAGTGTCACCATCGCATGAGCAGCAGCTCAGACCCACTGATGCGACAGCCACATAATTGAGGATATTAGGGAAATCATAACAAATAAAACACAAGCCTGGCTTCCTTTGCTGCTTCCTAGTTAATACATCAAATCCCACTTCATTTCCTGACCTCTGTTATCTAACTGATATGCCATAGAAACAAGCCAGTGACTCTTCTACAACCCTCGCCTTGGAGGAAAGGCAAGTTGGGGTGAATTTCCGTGTTTACTTGAAACTCTCAGGCTTCTTAAGGGTTGAAGAGGCTGACATCTATGCACATTTGTCTTATCCACACTCCCACACCTCTGCCTGGAAGTCTGCCTGGCTTTGCTCTGAAAATACTTGCCCTGTCCAGATTTGCTGAACAAATCTCCTACATGAATTCTCAACTGAAATCTACTGTGACTTTTGCATAGTTCTTTCCTGTAAGTGGAAAACACTGACGTCTGGACACAAAGCAAAGCAGCTGGATATCGGGGCAGCACTATAGCTGGCCTTTCTCGGGGACAAGTCCACAGCCCAGCCCCCAGTTAGCAATCTCTCATTTCATAATAACTTGAGGTGTTGGGCTGTTTGACAGAAACTGATTTGGATCTGACCTGCAGGACTTGGGTAAGCATCCCTCAGGGGACTACATGGCTTAAGTATTTGCTTCAATTTGCTAGGAGAAAAAAAAAAAAAATTAAGGGCCTTAAATTGATTTAACGAGCCAGGGAATGTAGGGCTGAGGGAAAAGGGGAATTATCTGTGTTTATTAAAAATGGCAAAGCAGTGACCTCCCTGGCTAAATTCTCACTCTCCCGGTGCTTGTGCTCTGGGGAACTGTATACATGTCAAACCGTTAAATTAAAGACTTCACAACAAACAAATAAAACAAAACAAACAAACAAAAACCTCTCGGGACCTCTGAGCCTTCCACATTAAACCATCTTGTCCTGCATGTCCTAGCTAGAAACTGGTGATTCCAGAATTAACGCATTAAACACAAAAGGAAGAAGAAGTAAGAGAGAAAGAAGAGAGGGAGGAAGAGAGGACAGGAGGAGGGGAAAGGAAGGAGGAGGAGTGTCCCGTGCTGAGTGCTGTGTAGTGCTGTCTGCAGACAGACAGACAGTCTGTGTAGGCAACACCTTCACATGTATGTTTCAGGGAAGGGCAGTCCTGTCTAGACCCCCGTCAGAGTAGCATGCAAAGCTGGTCTTTGGAATTCATTTTCCTTCTACCTCATCGGGTGACTCAGGAGAAGTGGAGATTGAAATGGGAGAAAGGATGCCAAGTTCTTTGTTCACACTGCTTTTATAATCCTGAAGAAGATTTAGTTTTCCATTTTTTTTCTAAGAGATTTTTTTGCTATAGGGTACATGCACTCACCAGAGAGACAGAGGGAGGCAGATGGACAGAAAACGAGAAATCCCTCCCCAGGGGAGATGGTCATGCCTCAATCCCTTCTCCTCCATTTTCCTCTTACATGTACAGGCACCTGGCATGAGTTTCAAACTGCCAGGTCTGAGACCCAAACCGTGGTTGACTACGTAGGAGGCCAGCGCCTTAACCACCACACTACCTGCTAGCTGCCAGTCTTCCATTCTTTGAGTCTGAGGGCTCTTTTGGAAATACAGCTAACTATCAGTCACACTCATTATAGAAGGATGAGTCATAAATTGATCAAAATATATATGCTAGGCCAGCCTGTGGCATGGTGTTTAAGGCAGCTGAATCCCACATGGCTGACTGCACAGTTTGAGTGCTGGGCCTGGCAGCTTGAGAAAACATGTTGGGTGCACACACATGCTAAAAAAGAAATCCTGAAAAGAGGAAGAAATGAGGAGAAAAGATTGTGGTGTGAATATCCCCCATGGTGGGGGTGGGGAGTGCTTTTTCATTTTTCTTCTCTCTCTGTCTCTCTCTTGTGAGCACATGTGCCCTTTGGCAAATTCAAAAAAAAATTATATGCTTAGGAAGGTGTATGAATGAAAATAAAAACGAATATAAAGCCATCCACAGAGGTTACGTAAATGTACCCAAATTATACCCCGTGTAATGAAAAGAACGTGCATATGAACGGATTCATAGATAGGCTAATGATGATAGCTTATTATAATAAAATGGGTGTACTCAGATGGACAGATGAATTACTATGAGTATTTGAATATTTATTTATTTATTTTCATGGCTGAGAGTAGCTATGCTCATCAGAGAGAGAGATAGAGACAAAAGGACAAGGTGATGTCACAACCCCTGCTCCTTCATTTCTCCATCCCATCAGGATTTGGGACACTCATAAACACATTCAAGGTCTATTTTTCATGCCTTGTGGTTGGCTATGTGAGATTGGCTCCTTTACCTACTAGGCCACAGGGCCGATCCTTCTGTGGGTATTTCTTAACAGGTTCCCTTAGGACCTCTGGAGTTTGGGTTAACTATAAAGACTAGCAGGGCTTTTGAAGGTCCTTTAGCTTTTATTGATTGAAGACTACAGGTTTTAGTTGTTCTAAAATTCAATAGGAGGCAGTGATCTCACTGAGTCTTCAAGTCTCTTTCAGAGGGAGAAAGCTCAGAGCAGATAGGTATCGAATAGGGTTCTGACAACAGGCACATTTGTTTATATTTGCCAGCCTAAATGTTTTGTTGCAATACTTTTTTGGGAAAAAATAGCTGCATATCAAAGCATGCAATGTTGAATAATGATCAGTTCCTCTAAGTCCAAAGTTGATAACCCAAACTCCCTAGGTTGATGATGAGAAGGGTTCACTGAGAGTACTGACACATATAGCTCATCATCACCATTGATATATCCATCTCAACAGACGAACTTACACACACGAACATATATACTCCTGGCCTTTAACCATGTTTGTTTCTCTAGTTATTAGAGGGAAAGCTTCCAGTATAAGTTAGGAAATAGAAAAAACTATTCTAGGAAAAAACAACTAAAAGCATTTTTTTTTTTTTGCGAGATTTTTGTTATGATGCATGTGTGTTCACCAGAAAGAAAGAGAGATGGAAAGTGAGAAACCCCCCCCGCCACGAGGCATGGCCACACCACAATCCCTTCTCCTCCATTCTCTTCTCATGATTTTGGGCACATACGCACACGTGATTTGCATAAGTTTCAAATTATTAAATCTGAGACTCAAACCTTGATCAGCCACGTGGAAGTCCAGCACCTTAACCACCACACCATCTGCCGGCCCCAACATTTTTTATTATGTTATTTTGTAGTATAATACTCAGAAGTAAAGGATAACATGTTAAAATTTACATTCTATTTCCAACCTGATATATTAAAAATAATCTTGATTATCAGTTTTTAATGATGTGTTCTTTTAAAAAAAATTAAATAACTTAATGGTGATGTAAATGGATATGAAAAAGTATATATATATATATCTCAGGATCTTGGGCATGCACGCACACGCGCCCGGCGTGAGTTTTAAGCCACCGGGTCCAGGAAGTGAACCGCGGTCGACTACATGGGAGTCCAGTGACATAGCCATTATGCTAACTGCTGGTTCCCAAAAAGTATATTTAAAATGAGTTTTCAGGCCAACCAGTGATGCAGTGGTTGGGACAGCTGTATCTCACATGGCTGACTGCATGGCTTGAGTCTCAGACCCAGTAGCTTGAGAAACACACTAGACACATATGTGTGTGTGTACCTAAAATCCTGAAAGGAGGTGGAAGAAAAGAGATTGTGGCATTACCATTCCCCACGGGGTTGCGGGGGAGGGTGCTTTCTCTCTCTCTCTTTCTCTTTCTGCCTTTCTCTGCCAAGCACACTTGCCTGATAGGAAATTAAAAAAAAAAAAAAAAAGAATTTTCATTATTTCCAAAACTACAGAAAACTCCTAGTTATCTAGAATAGCTGGGTGGTGCTATTTTTCATTTAATTCAATGTCATTAACAGGTCAGTATTTTTAAGTCATGCATAGATCAGATCTTAAAATATCACATAGTTCCTTATTAATTAAAAAAGCCTTCTGGGGTGCTGGATTCCCTTGGGATTATAATAATAACTATAATGATATCAATCCAACTAATTAGCAATGTTTACTTGGAGGGGAAAAAGATTATTTGAGATTTCTGTATGTTTGAATTCTAAACAATTGTGAGCTTATTATTTTACACTGTTTCTGTAAATTATTTTCCATGCCCTTCTTGCTTGAGCTTTTAAAATGACAAACTTCTAAAGGTCAGATCTGTGCCTGTTCATTACTAGGTATATAAAGGACTTGAATGAGGTAATTAAGTATGTAGTCTGGACCAAGAACCAATCGTTTGTCCAGAACAGACATATCACTGATATTGAATAATGATATTAGTTGTCTAAGTCCCTTTGTGCATACTGAAATAAGAATTATAATTATTTTATACAGTATACTTGCCTAGAACTACGTCTATTGCACTTAAACAATGCTTCGTATTTTTCACAGTATCTCTATGTGACTTGAAAGAGTGCAATGTGGTGGATAGGTCATGCGATTCCCATTTACTCAGGAGTAAGCTGAAGTCAGAAACATTTACATTTGCCCAAGGTCATAAGGATCACGGGAAGGAGAAAGGCTTACACTCAGCTTGCAATATAGGGGCTCCCCATCACACCTTGACAGCTCCCTTAACTAAGTCATTATTGATTTTTTTATGCTAAAGAATTCACGGGCCATTTCCTTTGATATTCACACTGCTCCCTGGACTTTCCATGAAGTAGTAAAATACTGTAATACTGCTAACATGAGAAATCGCTCATCCATGTGAAATTATGTTTTCTTCCTTAGGAAAAAAAAAAAAAAGCTTTCCCAACAATACATCAGTTCGACTCTGAAAATGAGATGGCAAATTGCAATGAAGTTGGGAAAACAAAGATCCAACAGTCTTTCTCCAGTGCAGGCTTGTTGCCATGAGCTAATAATTCCAGACTTTGAGCATG